AAGTTGTAGGCAATTGTCTCAGCTGTCTTGTGTAAAAACTTCAGATCATGTGGACTTCTAGAACTCCAGATATGGGCCAAACATTGAACAGTGCTCGGGCTGGAAGACAGATTCGGACTTCTTTGTTGTTGCTACAATTTGGACTTGAAAATGACCTTTTTAAGTCTTGGGCTCTATGAAAGTTGTAGGCCTATGTCTTACCTTTTCATCCATATAAAGTAGACCTAATATAAGATCTAAAGCTCCAAATATGACCCAATTACCGAAAAGTGTTCCGGTTTGGACTACACCGACATCTCTTTTCGAAGTTTGGCCATCTCTTTTTTGTCCTTTCAATTTCAGTTCTTAAATTCATCAATCAATCCTTTCATTTATGTGATAGGCCTGCATTTAAAATGAACATTTACCACAAATTAAAGGTATCTTATATTATTAGATATGTTATTAAAAAACATTCTTTAGTTAAGGAGTTATTGATACTTCAAGTGCAAAATGATGATATAAAACCTTGATAAAAAGACACTTTTAAGTACTAATCAATATACATGCAAAATACTTTGAAAAGAAAACCAATATCTTTTTTTTTTAATTGTGGGGAAGAAAACTAGGATCAATTCATATAAGTATATATAAAAATACAAATTATGTGTCAAGAGATTTGATTTTAAAAAATACTATTTAATTCGTAAGAACTAGCAAGAAGATTATATTTGTAAATATCAAATATATTATTTTACCTTAAAATATTATATATGCTAAGATTAAAAAGACTTCTACTCTATAGAATTGAAAATTCAATTCTATGTGTAGCTAAGAAAGAGACTTAAAAACTAATGTAATTCTTAAAAAATTAGGTTAATATGTTTTTTCTATTATATGCCTATTATAATTTCTTATTAAGATTAATTTCTTCTTATTTTATTGGAAATTTCATATTTTTGTTGACTTTGATGGTCACTACCAACACCTTATGTCAACATCATTCCTTATTTTAGTGTTGTTTACGCAATTATTTCCATTAATATTTTATCACATCTGACTCTTATGGATGTCGGATTACTCTGCCTTCCATCCATGCTATCAAGAGTTAGGCAGATAAATATTAATAAGTATAGTTTAATTGATTAGTTAAATTTATTTTTTAGAAGTTATTAGTTTAAGTGTTATAAATTTAAATATCATTAAAAATTTATATAGTTATTAATTTTAAAAATTATAAAATTAATTAAAATATATATATAAGCTGATTCGAACGTCTATATTAATAAAACAAATTAAAAATTAGAACAAAGGCTATTTCTTAGAATTATCAAACCTAGGACAATTTCAAAGCTTCCTTAGTCTTAGCATTTCGATTTTTTTGAGAAGGTCAAAGAAGGGGTATTTAAAATTTCAATAATGATTGTGGTTTAAAGTATTTTTTATTTTAAAATATTTTAAAATAATATATTTTTTATTTTTTTAAAATTATTTTTAAATACAATATCTGAGAGTGTAGTAGCGGTTGTGATTTAAAGTATTTTTAATAGAAAATATATTAAAATAATATTTTTTTATTTTAAAAAATTATTTGACCATTTGTTTTATTATTATTCTAGCTTTTAAATAAATAAGAAAATATAACGATTGAAATACATAATCTTATTATATTGATATTGTTTATATTATGACAGTCAAATCATGGATTTTCTAATGTGTGCACTGAAGGTAAACGATATCCAAACGTCAATAAATAGGAGTTTTCCGCATAGTACAAGAACAAAACAACAAAAAAATTTATATGACCAAATGAATCTATATGTGATTTTCTTAAATGATAACGACATGACAATCTTAATGGTGGACCCAAAAAAAAAACATGTTAATTCCAACGGTCAAGATTGTGGTAAGATTTTCCAAGTTCAATAGTTTTAATTCGCAAAATTTCCCATAAAAGAAAATCAATATAGATGGACCTATTGTCACATGTTCCATTTTCTTATATGCAACAATTTAATTTATCTATACTCAATTATTTTATTCATCAATTCACTTGTGTTTTCCTACAATTTATATTTATTTACAAGCCCAAGAAAATATCTACATTTTTTTAATGTTATAAACAAGCGAAATACACAAATAAATACAAACAAAAATAAATAAACAAGTTATTTCAGGAATGAAACCTAATTTTTTATTAACTTATAAGGATATACACAAGTCCGCCTATGCGTGAGCTATATATTATGCCCTCTAGAACTTACATCACCTACAATGTATTGGAATATTTGGGTAACTATTCGGTTTTATATTTGCTAGTGAGCATATCTAATAAAGTTGTTTTCTCTCCTAGTTTTATATCTTAGTTATGGCCTTGATGATCCTTCCTATCCACTTTGTGTTAATACAATAAATCATACTTTGAAAACTTTTAGGATGCCTAAAACACCTTTTCGTGGATTTAATTATAAACTATTTGCACCCGTTTGATTTTCTTCTAGATGCTTATCTATGCTGGGTAATGGTCATCTTTGATAGGCATTCTCCATGTGCAAGTGCAATGCAAGCACACAGACAGACATGTGAAGCACAATTTAATGCCGTGTTTGGACTAGGTTTTGCTGTATTTAAAGATTGTAGAGGCAGATGGTGATTGTAGAAGACGAAGCTAGGTCTTGCCATGTCTGTACCTTGGACCCCTGAGGCTACTTAAAATGTAAATAAAATAAAATAAATAAATAAAGTCGATTCACTTTGTTTATTTATGAACTATATTTAAAGAAACCTTTTAGGACCCCTTGATTAGCTAGATTTATTAAATATAAAGGCTAAAAGGAGGAGGATTTTAGGCATGCTAATAATTTTTAAAACAGCTAATCTATTTATTGACTACGTATATAAAATCAGAGGGGATAATGAGAGGCTGATCTTGGCCTTCTCTCCTATGAAATATAAAACAAATTCAATGGAGCCTCATTAGAGATAGAAATCCAATTAATATTTTCTATGATATTTATCATAATTGAAATAAACTAACGAAACATTATTGAAATAAAACTATAAAAAAGTTTGTTAATTATATCGAGACTCAAAAAATAGAGAAGGCATGAAGCCTAGAAACTTAGAGAAATGAAATCACAAGCCCAAAATCCACTGTTAACAAGCAAGTCGAAGTTGCCAGGGAAGTAATAAGGTGTTGCTACTGCTGTTATTGCCCATGGACTTCATTTTATTTATTTATTTATCTTTTCTCTTGGACCACTAATATGTTACCTCTATGGAGGCCCTCTAATCAACGTACCAGACACAAGATTTATTTTAAGCATACATTTAAAACATGTATGGGTTTTTCATTTAAATTAAAGAATTTATATAATTTTAGTGGAATTTTAACAAATTCTCCCCTTCAAGGGAACTTACCTAAAATTTTGTTCCGGAATTATCATCTACACAACGCAATTCAAACCATATTCGGTTTACATGTTTACAAGGAGAGGATTTATCTTTATTGTTAAAGAAGATTTAGTCCCTTAAAAATCATCTGAATAAATTAATATGTATATTGAAATCATTAAAAAAATATGAGTTTATAGCTTTAGACAAAGCTAAAAAGAAAAAATATAAGTTTTTAATGTGTTTTTTATGATATTCTAAATTGACTAAAACTCTTGTGATAACCAATCTAAAATTAACAGGATATTAAAATGTAGATGTAACGAAAAGTTTTGACACATTTTTTAAAAATAAAATATCATAAAATAGACTAATAAAATAAAATTTTTCATTAACTTTCTTTCAGGTTCAACACCAATATTTTTTAAGTAAAAATGAAATCTTGTTATCATATTGAGATTTCAAATCACTATCTTAAATATAATGGTTATTTTTTTCATAAAAATACATATACTAGTTTAGACCCATTTTAGCAACAACATAACATATATTTTTATTAATAGAGTGAGTCAATTACCTTAATTTTATCTAAAATTCTTAAGGTTAGTAAAGTTTTTAGTTACAATAAAAGTACTTAATGATTTTTATTTTTCATTTTGCACTTATAGTTAGCTAAAATGTCCTTAGCATACCAGTTAAAAAACATATCAATTTATTATTTAAAAGGTAGTTTAGTTGTAAAAACTTGGAATTAAAAGGTTTATTCCTCCTATAATCTTAAGTCCAAGCTATCTAACTGCTAATATTAATAATTATTAGAAACTTATCTGGTTGTTAATTTTAAAACTCACAAATATTTTTTCTTAAAGCAAAGCTCTAACAACCAAATCTTTATCCTCAAGTATTATTTTTAAGCAATAAAGGTCTCTTTAGAATTCTCTCGAGTGGAAATAACAATCTCTCTCTCTCTCTGCAGGCCTTGTTCCCAAAGTGAGTTGTTAAATTCTCTGCTAATGTTAATATCCTCTAATATTTGTTACTTTTTTGTGATATTTTAAGCTGCTCTGAAATTTTAATTGTTGTTTCAGTCATTGGAGATGTAAGGGGCAGGGACTTAATGGTAGGGATAGAACTTGTGACTGACAGGAAGGAAAAAACCCCTGCCAAAGCAGAAACTGCAGTCTTGTTTGAGAAACTTAGAGGTAAGAAGGCACAACCTCCCAACACCATAAACGTAGAAAAGATAAGCCTTTGATTATGAAATGAATTTCTCATCGATTTCTACTTTGTATTTATCATCACTGGTTCCTGAGTGCAGAGCTTGGCATCTTAGTCGGCAAAGGTGGAATACATGGAAATGTGTACCATATCAAACCACCAATGTGCTTCACCAAAGATGATGCAGGTACTCTTCATGTCTCTTCAAGTGCTTAAATAAATTAAACCCTCGTGTTTTTAGATAAGTAATAAGGTAGCTTTCAAGAGCGATTCTGAGAGCTTTTAAAAACTGCAGTTTCTGTGAAAAAAAGCTCTGAACTGCTTGCATGATGATTATCATTGTTAATTTTGTTTACATGCTCTTTTTAACCAAATGATCTAATGTCACGGTTTTTGTTTTGGCATACGCAGACTGTCTTGTTGACGCGTTGGACTATTCAATGTCAAAGTTGTGAGGAGCTACCTGCCAGAAGCTGAGATGAATATGTAATTATTCACATTTTTTAGCATCGATCTCTTCTGATAGGTTGCTTTCAATAATATCGAGCAAATATCTAACCTTCTAACAATAGGATGAGTTTGCTTGTTTCTGATTATATTACCTGAAAGAATCAAACTGTATTTCCATGTTCTGTGGATGCACATGTCATAATGTGCACTAATGGATATACATTACTTGAAAACTCATGCAAGGAAACATAATTCAAGAAAGGCTTTAGCGGTTATCGATGTGTGCGACAGATAATTTTTAGGTCAACGGTGTTGGCAAGGCATTAGATTCTTTCGTTTTTAAGGTGCAGGCAAAGTCAATACTCAAGAAAAACTTACATTGCAAGAGGACCTCGGACCTCTGAGGACAGTTAAATGTCCAATTTTTCAGAACTATTGGCTTTGTAGTTCCAGGTTACTCAGCAATACCCTCCAAATCAGGCCATGTGCCTAAGCAACCATCTCTAAATGTGGATTCTGAAGACTAAAATATTGATTGAGCTCAACTGGTGATATAAAAGTGGCAGGGATGGATAAGAAGATTAAAAAACTAAACACGTGAAACATAAACTACAAACCAGAAAAAGGGAAAAAATTACTAGTACAGAAGAAAAGAAACGAAAAATACAAGAAACATCACTAGCTAGATAAAAAAAGGGAGAGACCAATCATGTTAAACTATTCTATCAAGCCATTGAAGTGTGGGCTCGGGATGGTGGATTGATAGTGGCAGTCTGATGAACACGTCCAAAGATTTGTCGTTTTAATTAGTGGAATGACATGGATTGGCTAGTTCAGTATTGCTGACAAACGTTGCATGCTTTAATGATTACAGCAAGATTAGTAGAACTAGTAATACGATAGTAACAACATCGCTTTCTTTTTTGCTTTGCTGCTTGCTTTTGCACATCTCTTTTGAGTGGTTTTTGAATAGCTTTAGCTTAGTTAGGGCTTTGCTTGTGTTGCTGGAACGCTATCCTGTTGTATGACAACCAGGTTATTTCCAGTAATTATCCATGTTCATTATGGGATCACAAGACAAATGAACTAAAGCTGTCCCAGTCAGAATTCCCTGGAAATGAAACAGAAACTAATGGAAACAAAATGACCATGAGTTGCATCTTCTTAATTGTGCATCAATGATATTACATAATTTCGGCAGCAAAACATCCATGCCATTCATTATTGACCTCGAGTTCATTGTCAGGTAGGGTTTTCCCAACCTACAGTGACCATTTCAGTATAAGCAAGGGAGATGGGAGGCAACAAATAATTTGCAATTCTCACGATTTATGTACAAGGCAGAACAAAAATACAAACACAAGTAGACTACAATTTACATGACAGTTTCACCTGCAGACTCAACGTGATATATCATTTGATGGCAAGACAGTAGCAGCACTGAAAATTGATTTAACCACAAGCTTCCTCTTGATAGAATGGCTATTTATATCTAAAACTTTCCAGTTGTAGGAGGCTGCTTGAAAAATGTCAGCAGCTTGAATTGTCTACACATAAGATTACATCATTACCCTAAGATGCCCTTTCTCTTTCTGCATATGGCTCCAGTTGTTTAACCCAATTTTGGATTCACTAAAATTTTCTCGAATGTTATTTTATTTTATTATTCATAACAAAAATAAAAAAATATAAATAAAAAAAGAGTTTAAAATATATTTTCTCGAGTCAACTGCATCTTTCGATCAAAATCGAGTCCACCAGGTCAATACGGGTTAAACCATGTTGATTGGGATAAAAAATGAGTTTCGGGCCGTTTCGTGTCAAAACCGTAATTTTCCGTCAAAACCAAGTCCACCAGGTCAATACGGGTCCCACCATGTCGATCGCGATGAAAAATGAGTTTCGGGCCGTTTCAGGTCAAAACCATTATTTTCGGTCAAAACCGAGTCCACTGGGTCCCACATGTCGACCGCGATGAAAAATGAGTTTCAGGCTATTTTTGGTCAAAACTGTTATTTTTGGTCAAAAAACCCAGTCCACCGAGTTGATACTCGTATAAAGTTTTTTTAATTAAAATTGATTTTTAGCGGTTGAAAAGCTTTTTATAATACTAATTTGAATTTTTAATTTTACCCCTATAAATAAATATTATTATTATATATAATAAAACAAAAAAATAATACAATTTTGTCACAGTAGGCGGATTCACTAAAGTCTTATATCTACGGTTGAGATTTGATCTTCTGTTCGAAATAATAGTAGGAGTAGAATCCTTATAAATCACGCAGTATTTGGTAACAAACATCATCAACTTCTTGTATTTCAAGCCTTTCAAAATTCTCAACTCTTGAAGATTTAATCATGTCTTCCTCTTCTTTCAATGCTAACCCAAATCTTGTTCCTGTAGTAGAGCCTGTAGTTTGACGTACTACTTTTGAAGTGAATGGTCGTCCAGTTACAATAGAAGATACTGTAATTGACAATGAAGATACTGCTGTAGCCGTAGCTAGAGACATGATCCTTCCCCGTGATGAAAGAATGCTGGCAGCTAGGAGCGATATTGAAGCAGTGAATCAGTCACTTGCTCTCAGTATTAGAGCTACTTCGTCTTTGGTGAACGTTGCAGAGCGTCTTCATGCCAGAAGACTTGAGTTGAATACTCAGGTTCTTGATCTCCATCATCTGATCGAGAATTTAAGGAATAGATTTCGTGATGAAAGATGTCACAGAAATGACTTGGAGAGGAGAAACCAAGAACTGAATACACGTGTTGACTTTTGGAAGGACTATGTTAACACACGACACCTCGAATTCGAGGAAGAGATGGAGCGTATGCATAAACAATTTGAAGAATTTTGAGGCTTGATTGATCACCAAGATGAAAATATCCCTAATTGTCCTCGCACTGTTTAATATTTGTACTTTTAAACCTTTTGTCATGAATAAAAAATCCATCTTTCTTGTCTTCACTTATGAATTTTGCTTTCATGAAATTGCCATATTTGATGTGATTTGAAGAACTTCATTTCGTCTGAATCTCATTGGATCCCATTGAGAATTTTGTTTCAAGAAATATCTACAAGACAAATATGCAATGCTTGTGAAGTTAGATGATATGCAATGCATCTTACCTTTTTGAAATATAAATCCCCCATTCATCTTGTTTGAGGATCTTGAATTTTAGTAAGCTCTTTTGATTCACATGTTTTTCAAATCTACTCAAGCTGACCCATGTTGTTTAGTTCTCCAAGATAAACTTTGTTTGAGTTTCCCAATAGTCACTGCCTCTTTCTCCATTGGTTACTTTGCTGAGAGCATTAGCTTCTCCCTAGCCCGACATTGTGTTGTTGGTAACATTCCCATTGTTGAGGATTCTTTAATCACGTCACATGGTCAATATATGAGGATTATCCCGCTTCACCTGGGATTTTTATATCTGAAGATGTATCAGTTATCATATTGTCTAACTGATCATATTATGAGAGGCAACAATCTCATTTCATAGATACTGCATAATCACACTATTTCAATCCCATACTAGAAGAAGTCTACAGTTTTATCATGTGTATCTCCCACTGGGGAAGCAAATTTCTTTGTGCCATTAGGAATCTGGTGATAGCTTCTCTACCCCTAGAAGAATTAACTGTCTCTTTTCATTTCCTCCTTTGCTCTTGTTGTCGTTAGAATCTCTGATTTTTTAACACTGTCTGTTGGTGTGTCATATATTCGTTTTTCTTTACAAAGAAAACCTTTTTTTCAAAAATGATTTTTCAAAAGATCTCTTTTGTTTTTGAAAACTTAAACTCTCAATGTCTGTTTACAACAATGTTTAAGCAACACTAGGGATTTATATTAAATCTCTTAGTAAAAGTAATCTTAGATGAAGGTAAGTGATGAGATGACCTTCTGCTTTGGTTTTCAAAGTGTTCAAGCGATTGCTTGAATGTATTTTGAGAGAAAAGGAACAATTGCCTTTTATTTTTAAAAACACTCTTTTTAACAGCATGAATAATAATGAGTAATTATTTGCTACGTCATGACTTTTTTATGAAAAAGTCTCTTATATTTTGAGAACGCTGTTTATTGATCCAGGTTGTTTTCTTGATTAGAAAGGACTTTAAAGGCACGTAATGTATTTATGGCTCAAGGCTGTAAAAGAAAGAGGATTTTATAAGCTCAAAAAAAGTGATTAAGGGTTTAAAAACTATAGATCACTGTTATCTTATCTTCGTCTTTTCTTTTGTTATCTTGACAACAAAATGATACTAAATATTCCAAATTAGGAATTTTTTCTCATATTTATTGGGAATTCTCTCAATTATTTGGAATTTTTGTTGAATTCCTTGTTGTCAGACTTCATAAGCTCACATGTCTTCAAGATGATTTCCATGATCATTTCTTTCTTTTTGCCCCTAGTGTAAGGTGTGATCTTAGTTAAGGTTCTTATGAAAGAAAAAGCTTTAAATAGACTCGGCTCAAATTGGGACTGCAAAGGATAATTTTAAATAAAGTGAAAGGAATATCAAAGATGACATTTCCTTATTTCAAGTAAGATCAGTTAAAACCAATAAACTTTGTCCACATCCAGCGTAATGCTTTGGATTTATAAGATACCATGTTTTGCGAGTCCATGACAAGCTAATATACTACCAACCATTATTCATGCTGATAAAACATAGGTCTAAGACAGAATTTGAGTGATAGTTGTTCCAATTGCATGTTTTTTGACTTGTATGGTCATCTCTTTCAAGGGAATTGCTTTGAACATTATCCTAAACAAATCATTGATTTATTTCATTGAAATCATAAATAAAATCAATTCTTTTAAAACCTCATTTAAGAAGAATGGATTCTCTTGTAAAAAAAGTTTGAAAGATCAAATTGTTGAGCCATTGAGATCATGCATGGGCTTTTTGGTGAGGTATATGTAAAGAGAATTTCCTGGCCAAAACTTCATTTAATTGATTTTGATTGGATGAAACACATCATACATAATACGTTTTCACAGAATCAGAGTTCATAGGCCTAGGTAAATCATCTCCATCCATCCTAGTTAACAACAGAGCCCCGCCGGAGAAGGCTTTCTCCACGACATACGGGCCTTCATAG